AACTGAAATGCCATCATTTACTTATGTTTTACCACTTATGCTAAATTTAAAAAGCTTTTCAACATTTATCCTTCAGTGCTGATTGGCAGTTACTCGTGATGCGTAGCCAATCAGATGTGCTGTAGGCGGGACATTGAGACCACAGATGGAGATAAGCGTGTGACATGCTCAATATCAGGTTCAGGAATCATCCAGGCCAATACATGGTTGACCTCTAGTAGTAGGGATGTCACTCCACTGTGGTACCAAATCAACGGCACAATTTGGAAAACTTCACAGTACTTGCTTTTGTATGCCAAAGAAACTTATTCAAGTTACACAGACTGGAGGTACTGGAGAATGGTGGCAACATGGGGACTGCAGGCAGCAAAGTGCAGGAGTAGCTGCAACTTGTGGACAGAAAATAGTATACGGTGTTGTTTTATCAGTATTTTGACATGGAAAGTTATAGTTGACCAAAAGCTTGAATGCAAACAGTGTATCTGAAATGAAGATATAAACACAGCAAACTTATCTGAACACCCTTAAAACAGACATCGGAAAAAGCTCCTAGCACACACAGTGCTCATAGGATAACATTACCTTGTTCAGGCTAACAAAGCAACAGCTGAGTTTAGTGTCAGCCGGCTACAATCATCTGTAAAAGATCTGTTAAATGTGTTTGTGAGTAGGGGCATACAGAAGTTTTTGTTAAGTAACAGTGTATGTCTTTTTTTATTGTTTGTTACATTTGGTATTGAGTCGGATAAGTTTCAAGTCATTGTTGAACTTTTATGCGAGTCAAGGCAGCTCCAAAGCTTTGAGCAGAGGCTGCCTGCCCGGGTGAACGAATGAGTTTATGTAATATATCAGCTAAAGGGCAATTTGGTCAGTCACAAAGTCAGAACGTTGAATAATCTATTCATTCTAATTGTTTTCCCTCCCAAATTGTATCGTTTTATTTTTCTTATTATATTCACTGTCAGCAAGAAGGACAGAGGCTCACACCTGACCTGACAAAACCCCCATTGTTATTTAACCGCTAACACTGGAATTATGCAGACACTCACTGGTACACTCCTTAGGTAAGCACGCTGCCACTAAAATATTGTTTGACCTTTGAAGCTCATAAGAACAGAGGACCTTTATTTTTTTTTCACAGACGATGGTGCCAAAGTCCAAACTAGGAGCAGATGTCACCGTCTATGCAACAGCTCACTGTACAGCTGAAGAAATACTGAGGAACCAGGCTGATTGTTAACATTTAACAACGTTAAATGGCTGACAGGTACCAATAAAAGAGTCATGATATTATTACCTCACCCACATTTTAGAGCTGAAAACGCAAGAGGACTGAAACTCAATATTATGTTATAGGCAGCCAACCAGAAAAAAAAAACGGAGACACATAATGGAGTTCCTCTCCCTGATCTGTCCGAGCTGAAGGCTCAGCTATAAGCCTATACCTGTATCTTCATGCTCTCCAGCGGGCACAGAGCCCTAACTCATTGAATTTGAGAATGCCACAGCCACAATAATGCTGCTGTCCACTTCAGCGGCGTGCGAGCCCCGTGCCAGCTCCTGGCTTTCTGAGATTTTGTGTAAAAACTTTACAAAAAAAAAAGAAAGACAAATCTGCGTACCTGCACCTCATCCGTCTTGTGCCAACAAATGCTGCCACCTTAGCTGAAAGGTCTCATTTCGCCTCCCAAAAATAAAACTGCTGGATGCGTGTTCATTAAGAAACTCGGAATCTTTTTATACTCTGACTTTTCAGTTTGGATCGTCTATTAAACTGCAGCGTCAGGCGAGACTTCTTTCCGACTACGAAACAAAAGCTTAAAACGGCTTTATTTTTATTTTGAGAAAACTGAAACACATTAGAAATAGAGCTGGTTTCTACTGTGAAAAAAAAAAAAGATGAGATTTAATCTTGATATGACACTGAGGCAAACTAATAGGAGGGACTGACTGTAATATTCTCCACTGTGGGAAACAACACTCGCACTTCACCTGGTGACAGCTTTCACATTTTTAAAACCAACATAATATTTGTTCTTCATGAGTAGCCTCTTTCTCCCTAACGATATTCAGGTGACTCTCCGTCAAATGAAATGACAATTACAAGCACACGGGGTAAGAAGACGAGCACAGCAGTCGGTGTCGTTCGGTGGAGTCTAATATTACACTACTAAGACACACACAAACACATTTTCAACACTCAAAGGAAGTCCTGTTAAACGAGGATTCAGACGTCAAGGATTCCTATCGGATCTGTGGCTTCGCAGCCTCCCCTGTGCAATTGTGAGGTTTCAAAACCTCTGCAGAGACCATCACCTTACATAACCAAGCTATTAATATTGATTGTTTCCAAATTTGCGAACTGAGAGATCTTGCAATATGAAAATAACACCCCTTTCTTCTTTCCAGTAATGATATCCACAGCCCTTCAAGGCCTGTTCTCTGACCCACTCAAGTCTTACAGCGGAGCTTCTGCTGAAGTAAGCCCTTTCTACTTAAAAGGTATTAGCACTCAGGGTTAAAACAGTAAATGCTCTGCATGCAGGATAAGAAATGTGCATCCTCAGAAAGTCTAATACAGCTGGTGTGAAGAGGGAAAACCGTGCTTAAGCAAGTGTCTGCCGCCTCTCAGATGTTGGTTTCTGTGGCTGGCCTGAAAAGCCAGATTCTGAGCGTAGAGCTGTAATCCTAAAAAAATGTCTTACAAGTCTGTAACACTACCCGCTTTTTTTATTGTTTTATTTATTCAAGCAACCCTGCGCTCCAGTGTGCCAGCGCAGCAACCGAGTGCAGCTTCTTGTTAGCAGAACGTGGACTTTTTTTTTTTTTTTTACATGATCACTTTATTAAATAAAGCAATTAGGCCATCTTTTCTTTATGAAAGCGACCTTTTCTGCTCCTCTGCTGTGTGATGAATGCTAGGAATATTTCTACTTTATTACATTTATAAAGCATGTCTTGGTAAAACTGTTGCGGTGTAAAGGGCTGTAGACACACGCAGACGGTTTTATAACACTATAGATTAGATAGGACACCACAACAGATTACAGTTATGGCATGTGACTGCAATATAGCATTTTGTAACCACACGCTTTTATAATATATGAGGTTAAAATTTAGCCTAAACTGCGTAACATGAAAGAATAACTGAACTTTGGGATTTGATCAAACTAATCTCAGACAAACGTTGACTCACAACAAGTTTTCACAAAGTTGGCAAAACTTTTCTTTAAGCATTTCAGCGCTAAGAATCACCCTTGTTCTGAGCCAAAATGAAGTTTCTGTGCAGAGAAACTCCTTCTAAAGTGCAAGAGATTGCCCCACTGAAAACATTTTTTTTTTTCACCCATTCAGCATTACATAACAGACCAAAGGCGTTCTTTTTCCTGTCTTTCTCTTTCCCAGACGCACTTTAATCCTTGTGCATAAAAGGGTGGGGTGAATATGGGTCAGCAGGTTAGGAGTGTCTCAAAGTCAGACTTGTGAAAAAAGAAATCAATCCACGAAGCCTCCCAACTACCTGTCTTTGCCCCGCGATTACATAAGCGCTCAGTCTGTGCCAACCCACAAAGTCACACAGTTTCCCTTCAGTTTGAGAGTCTAGAAGTGCAATGGGTGTCTGTTTTTATTATTAACAAACTGAACAAACATATTGATAATGAAGAGAGTGACTGAGCTGTTTGGTAAATCGACAACAACCCATAAAAAAATGAAAGAGAGAGAGAAAAGATCTGCGATGGGTGATTTCTGCTCTCAGTTGCGCGCCTCTGTTTATGGCTAAACCTGTTACATAACCAGCTTACATTCCACATTCACCATATCACACTCTAAATATACCCTTGCGCACAGGAAGCTTGTGCGCACCGACACACACACAGACACACACGAGGAAAAAAAGCAACGTTCAATGAATTAATTGTCTCCTCCGCTCGCCTCGCTCTGCCGTGAATCCAAACTCAAGACATCAGCAGAGAAATCACTATTTCTTTTTTTTTTTTTTGAACTTGGGTGAGCCCGGTTAGCCTGTTCTGGAGGCAGCCGAGAGGGGGTGTGGTTAAATACTGTCTTGTACTGTACAACATGGACGGGACGTGATGGATAAATCATGTACCAAAAGAAAAAAAAAAGAAAAAAAAAATAACTCGTCTTTACGCATCGATGCGCATAGACTTCTAAGGGGCTAATTGACAATGTAGGGGGGCTTTTGGTTCTGAATCACGTGTGTGTTGGGGAGGTTTAAGTCGCCAAAAAAAAAAAGAAAAAAGGAAAAGAAAAGAAAAGGCGTGCAGTGGCTTCATGCTTGCAACAGTGTTTGCTGGCACTAAACAAATTCCAGCTGCTGGGGCGTCTTTTTCACACAGGAATAGCCTCTTTTTTATTAAAATAAAAAAAAAAATCTGTGAGCTTGGAGATGTAGAAAAAGAAATAAATAAAAAATCCCAGCCAGACGGCGCTGTGTGCTAGGCGTTAGTGGAGGACACGTCCCTACAAAAAAAAAAAAGGAGAATGGGACTGATCGATAAACTAACCCACAGTTTCCCCAAAGTTCACTTTCGACACTTGGACAAAAATAACGCGTTTGAGCGAGCAGGTTGGCCCGGTTTGGCACGATGAGACCGTGCACGCCGCTCAATTCTAGAGTTCCTGGATAATTGATTAATCTTGCAGTCGGAGTAAATGTGACATCTGTGACCGTATCACCCCCTATGATTTGAGCTGTCAGTGGAGCCTGGAAACAACCAGCAACACACAACCGAAGCGCTAATTATCGGGGCAAACGCCGCGGTGCTGCTGGATAATAATAATAGTAATGATAATAAAAGCTGTGTCTCTGTGGCTGCGTGAATTTTGTGTGCAGTTATTTACTGGGGAGGTTGGAGGGGAGGAGGAGGAGGGGGACGCGATTTAATTCATTTGGAAGTTTGATTAAAAATTCCTCGATCGGTCTCTATCCACCGTCCGGTATGAAAACAAGAGGGGGGTATTTGCGGTCAGCTTACCTCTGTTGGTGCTGGAACAGGTCTGCCTTCGAACCGGGGCTGGATGGTCCGCTTTCCGGAGCGTCTCCAGGTTTACCGGGGTTTCCCTGACCGGGGTAGCCGGCTCCGAGGCGCTGTTGCCCGGGTCGCTCGCTGGATCTGGAGGGGACTCCATGTTGAATTTCAGATTTGCTGTTTAACTACCGCTAGTACTTTAAACTAATTCTGTACGATCTGTGAGCTCCGACACTACGTCTTGCTATCTAATTTAGACTAGAAGTAAGAAATGAGAAATGCGAGTGTGTCTGGAGGTGGGTGTGTAGGTTTGATTGTCCACTAGCAGCGCTAGTGAGAGCTCCAGTCATGCAAACTGAAAAGGGAGAGGTTGTCAATAGCCGAAGAATAGATGTAGGCCTGAAAGTAATCCATGCTGATCGACCCTGCGCAGTTTTACGTTGAAATTACAATATTTTATCACGGCAAAACCATTTTTTTATGATTTCTGCGCACAAGTCAGGCAGTTTGTGATGACACCACCTCTGGATTTCTGCTGAATTTGAAACGGGAAACTGTCCAGATTGATCCAAATACACAACCATGGCATGCAATTGCATCAATGCATGATCTAAACCATTTATTTGGCTGTTAAACTGAACGGACTCAGTATTATTTATGGAAACAATGCTTCTTGGGGTTGTTACTGTGCTTTAATCACAAACTGCAAACCTCTCCCTGTAAAACATGGCCACTTTCCATCTCATTTCTCATCAATAATTTCATCACCAATAACGTCTATGTTTGCAAATTCAGCCAAATGCAGCAGAGGTAGCCAATTCCCTGCAAATTCCTTCAGTGTGAAAGCCTTTCCTGGCTCCAACGCGCAGCACTGTGCGTAAAAACTACTCAATATTAATGTCCAAGAATTCAAACGGGGTTAGTCAGAGTGCTCTTCATTATTTTCATCAACATCACCACCATTAACATCATCATCATCATCATCATGATCTCTTCCACCATCCTGTGGGAGGAGCGGACTGCATCCCTGAGTAGTCTGATCGAGCTGATGAAAGGACTCTTCCCTTTTTTTTACTCGCAGAGTAACCTGCGTGTCTCCGCTCTGCCTGATAAAAGGCAGGATTGACAGCAGTTTGGAGAGAATACGCTTTTTTTTCTCCTTCCTTTTCCAGATACAGTGCACGGTGTACAGCTGGCATCAAACGTCACTCCGGCAACCGGCATCCGTGCTCCGCTTGTTGCGCAGAAATTACAAACAGCATGCTTCCTGCATGTGATCAGCGGGCAAAGCTGCGAGACGGAACCCCGCCTCTTCAAAAGCGTTGCACGTGGACTTTGACATGGTCCTGCCCTCTCAGCACAGAGCCAGACTGCTCCCAGACAAGTCAGCCAGAGAGAGGACTCAAGCAGAAGTTTTCGTGTCTTTAAACACATCAGCATTTCTGTGAGATTTCTGTTTGCACTTTATGAAGGCAGCTATTAGAGAAAAGGCCTCATGCAGGATCAGGAATCTTAAAGTATAATCACCAGTTTTAGTACATATTCATACTTTTTTTCCCCTCTGTCTAGATTTAGCATGTTCAGAGTTCACTTAGTAAATAAGTAATCACATTTTATTCTATATCATCTTATCCAGCATTACTGGGGGGATGTTGGGGCTTTAACACCGCTACTGTGATTTGGCAGATATGAAAGTAACAGAGCCCCTCTATCCCTCTATTGCAGATGCACACTTTACTATGAAAATAATAACCATAAAGCCGATACTATGCAGTGTAATGTGGTTTGTTGTTTAGCCACAGCGTCTTAAATGTGTTGTCCTCGGCCATATGGTGCCAGATTTGCTGTTTAGTTGGGTTGACAAAGTGAAAATGCAGCTTTAAGGACTGATTTTGTAACTGGTTCTCACTATTTATTTATTTGTTTGCGTATAAGATGGTTGTAGTAGTTTGGAGCCCTGATGCAGTTTCCTGGCTCAAGGTGATTTATTAAATGTTGTATTGTGTCTCTCTGCTTCCAACTTTTCTGTATCTGTTCGGCTGTCAGTATTAATAAAGGGAAAAATACTATTTTTTAAAAAAAGGTGGCTAAACGTCTCATTAGTCTCGTGACATCATTTACAAGATAGCAAATAGTTGCAAACAAGGCCCTGAAACAAAAAGCAAAAGAAGCAAAGTCCCTGTTTTACACTGTTACTGTCTTGCAATTGAGCAAAATTAAGTGAGTTATTTAATCCATGTGAAAGTCCAGAACACAAAACCATCCACTTTTTTTAAATAGGTTTTGACAAATTACATGTAGTGACTGGTGTCAGAAAGAATACATTTTCATTTTTTTCCATCGCCGCGCTCCTGCATGTAACTCACCAACAAGAGTATGATATAACTTTTGGAGCCATGCGTGCCGAAGGCCGACTTTTTGATAGAAAGCCAGAAGGAATCTCTCACTGCCAAGCGAAGAGGCCAAGTTCCATTCCTTCTGCTCAGCTTCAGCTCCTCCAAATTTCCCTGACCTCCTGACCCACTGTAATTTGACCGCGTGAACCCTACACTCGCATTCCACGCCTGTTGCATGTTCAAGACTGACAAACTTGAGCTTGAGAGACGTAAACACGCTCAGATCCTCACCTGAGAAAAACACACATAGGTGCACGTGTCTGCATGAAAAAAAAGCATGCTTATGTGCACATGCAAGCCAAAGAATAATTAAACCGTAGGCTACATTGTGCACAGTTACATGTAAACATTCCTCATGCATGTGCAGTCATTTTATAAAATAATCTAAAAAATATATATTTTACACCTAAACGACATGGATTCACGATAAACACACACACAAAAGCATCGCAAACACACACTCAGACCAACACACTGCCCTGTGTTTAAGCCAAAAGATGCAAGGACGAGTTTGATGTTGCCGCTTTAATTTTTGAGTTAAAATGAATTATGCTGCTGTCACATTGTTGAGCAGGGGGAAGGATGTGGCGGATGTGAAGCGAGTAGAGTAAGCATGCCTGCCGTGATCAGATGATTGATTAAGCTGACACTGGCTCAGGGGTGCAACACCGCTCTATTTTTCTCCCTCATTATGTAAGGCTATATTTCAAATCAGGAGTGCACTGGAGGAAGACACCAGAGACACGAGACAGGACACCCTTCAAATAAAAAGTTTATCAGACAACAGCCAAGGAGACTGATGAGTTTCCCCTCTAATCTTGTCTTGGGAGTGGCGATAGAAAAAGAAGAAAAAAAATGTGTTTGTCAAACGACGGGGTGATCATTAGACAATAAAACCCCCTAAAACTAGAGAGCTAAATTCGACCCGTTTGGCTGTTCACGATCTGATCTGGTTCATTTTAGCAAACTGTTCAACATCAAACTCACTATCAGACAAAGTGTAGAAGGTTACATGTCGGCTATGACTTTTCTTCCCCATGATTTATTAATTTTCTTCAGAAAAAGATAAGCTCAGCGGTGTTTACAGAAAAGTAATAAATTCAAATAAATGCAAAAAAAACAGCTCATAATTTAAAACAGAACACTATCAAATGAATGTAGGAATGTGGCTCTCTATCTCTTGGACTGCACTGGCTGTGTGTTTAAACAACTGGAACAAAAATAACATTCTCAGAAAGACAGTTTTTTTTTCTATATGCGGACGTGGTGACACATCCTTGTTGCCTTACAAATCGGACATCAGAACCAGAGCCCGGCAAACACAAAGTTCTTTGCATGCTCATGCAATGCAGAGTGCCAGAGTGTAATGAAAGAGATATATTAATGGCCTTTCACTTATTCATGTGTCGGAAATGAAGAGGCACAGTCACATTTTGAAACGGTTGACAGAATAAAGAGACAACATTGGGGAAATGATTGTATTTATGATTTCAGTCTGACAGATGAAGGTATCAAGAGAGAGACTGAGTGACACATTTCTGACAGTTCAAAGTGTTAAATGATGTGATGTATGGCAACATACTCGAGCACGGGGGCACCCGCTCTCATATATTCTCACTTTAAGAATCGGCGCCTTGTGAGTATACAGTATATACACAGAGTGCATAGGAGTATAGAAACGGAAATGCGGCATCGCCCGTCCAAGATGTTTTCACACTTTTGCAATTTTGGCAAATACAGATGATTCTACGGTGCTGCTTCACTCAGAGTGTAGTCTCTCCCTCAGAGACAGCGCCACTAGCACCACCTAGCAGCAGCTTGACCACAGTAAATCACTGTGTCCACACTCTGCTTCAGAGTTGAAAACATATTATGTCTGTTTTTCTGGATAAATGCACATTTCTCAGCATACTACACAAGTAGTATATGACTGTAATTCCCTATGCCAATATACAGTTTCTCTAATTATTTTCAGGGTCATATTAGCAAGGAAAAGAAGTGTTAATGTTGTCTCTGCTCGCCCTTTTTTAACAATTAAAGCAGCAATGACTCTAAGATTTACATGATTCTTGACAGCATTTGTACATCTCATACAGCTGAGTAATTTTACTACCATTTGCAGCCAAATGACTAAATAAGACTATTGGTATTTATTTGTCATAAACAGTCTTACTGCATGCTTCTTGGTCACAAAGGCATGAAATCAAGCCCGCCAGAGTTGTCACATTGTACTTATTCATGCCTAGTCAGCTGCATGATTATGCATTCAGTTTATAGTTTAAGATGGCTATATTACGCCAAAACACTGAACTGTGAAAGAAATGCTCTACAATGCTGAAGAAATGAAGATTGGCGGCTTACAGTGAACTCCTTTCTGTCAGAGCTAGAATTGACTCATGGCATCTGGACAGAGTTCATATGACTGGGGACCGGAATGATTTTCTCAGTTAAAAATCAGGAGGTGAAAAATGGCGTGGTTATTTGTGCCTGACAGAAGTTAAGAGCTTTTCCCTGAGGCCCGCTGCCTCCCTGCTGACCGCAAGGCAGCCTTCTCCTCCAGCATCCACTCACCTTGTGAGATCACACCTCTACACCGGCTGCTGGGATGGCACACCCCACAGCTCCACAGCAGCTATACTCGCCTGTGCATATAGACTCTTTTATGTTTTTCATCTCCGCTTACAAGTCTGTGCGTCGCCGTTTTTTTTGTTTTTGTTTGAGTGTGAGATGCCTACAGAGGCGGAATACTGAGGCAAAGCACAGAGGCAGGTACTTGAAGTGCAAGGTCAAGGTTTTGTACTTGTGTAATTAGTAGTGTAATTGGTGCCTGGTTCTGAGGCTTATTAGAGAATCCAGTGTGGCACAAACAGGTCCCACAGGAGGAGATCAAAGCAGGGGCTGGGAAAGGAG